TGGTTATGGATTGGCCATCATGTAGCCCAGACTTAAATCCGATCGAAAATCTATGGGCTATTGTCAAACGAAACGTGGAAAAACGCATGCCAAAAAATCTTGGCGAGTTGGAACAGTATATGATCGAGGAATGGAATAAAATTCCCAAATCAATGTTAAAATCTCAATGAGGAGGCGATGTGAGGGGGTGCTAGAAAAAAAACGGCGAAACTATTTCATATTAAATTTTTTTTAATAAAGATATATAATGTATCGCTACTACCAGTGTAAATCTCGTGTGACTTTGTGCAACCGTTTGATCATTACTGCGTAATTTTCAATTGCCATTTTTTTTCTTAACACACTGTATATCTATAAAAAAAAAATTGTCAATAAATAATATAGAAACCATTAATATATATCATATATAGGAATTAATTGTATTTTTTTCTTACTTTAAAATAATTTTAAATACGCTAGGTCTAATTTCAGGTAAACTCAAATTTGTAATTGGACTATGACTTAATTTTTCACGAAAAAAAAGTAGATCTTCGAAGAATTAAAGAATGAGCGTTGAAATAACCACCTTCACCAACTTTAATAATGATATCACAATAATTTCCACTTTTAAGTAATAAATCAAAATCCTTGGATAAATCATGTATCAGTTTTTCGGCCATTTTCTTTAATTAAAAAGAAAGAGAAAGAGAAAGATTTTTCGCAACAATTACGCCGAGATGTTCTAGGAGAACTCACGATCACATGGCAAAAACCTTAAAATTATCATCATTTCGATTTTCTTCTGGCAGTTACACAGTGATCTACGTAGGTCATTGTAAATTCGATCATGGAACGATAAATGTCAATAAATAAAGTTTAGGTTTATATTACGTACTTACATTTTTAATTATACAAGAGAAGACGCATATTGAATAATGAATTAGTACAGTATTATTATCAATATTTAATTAATAAATAATCAATCATTATAGAGATGATTGCAATATGACTATAAACCTAATATGTGGTATCATGCTTCTAGTGGTAAGAAAAAACTTAAATGAACAACAGCTAATCAAAAATGAAGATTTGGTAGAAAAGGACAACACAAAATTAAATTTTTTAAGTTTCATTAAAATATCTAAAACTGATAATGTATTAATACATTAAATAAAATATTCAATTAATCTAATGATATCTTTGTATTTTCAAAATTGTCAACCAATTAGTATATTTTTTTATTTTTTATTTTTTTTTATTTGTTTAAATAATAAATCACTGAGGAAATTTATTTATTTTTAATATGTATATTTTCGTTTGATTATTTCTTTGATTTGATTTTTCTTAAATAAAATTCGAGCTCTTTTCCTTCAAGAATATAGCCATCACATCGACCAGATTGTCCAGGACGTGAAGATAAGATGGCTATAAAAAATTAATGTCATGTCATAAACAATGTCAGAAATTTTGAGTATAAAAATATAAAATTTTAAAATTATCACTTACCGAACAAACGACCAGTAAGAAATTGATCATCTAATAAAGGATCAATTTTAGCTCCTTCCTTGCGACCGTCAAGCTTTCGTTGGACATTGCGTGATCGCTTTTTATTCAATTCCTCTGACAGAACCTTTAAATTTTAAATACACAAAGACATTTTACTAAAAATCAACAAGAAATTAAATTATCGTCTATTATAAAAATTTCTATTTTATCTTAACCAAATAAATTGTTTAACCCTCCATTGACATAATAAACTAATCTCAATCAATCAAAATTTAATCACCATATCGTTATTATTATTGTAAGATAAAATTTTATATTAAATATATATATATATATATATATATATATATATATATTCAAGAATATATAAATTAACATACCGCGCCTTCCTTTTTGGCTTTTCTATGACCAAGAGGTTGACCATAGTGTGCCTCAAACCATTGTCTAAATGGAGTGGCATCAATGTGAACAACTGCTCCTTTCACTAATGTATTCGTTCGAACCAACTCATTGTTTGAAGCATTATAAACAACACCAATGACTCTTGTTTTCCTTGCAACTGCCTCTGATCCCCATGAAAAATTACCCGAATCAAGACGAAGGGCACGGAATTTTAAGTTCCCGCCACGAACACGAACAGGATGAATACGTTTTTGTCCAAGTTTAGTGTTTGCAGGTTGTCGTCCCAACTCAAACTTTCTTTTTTTACGATACTGAGCTCTTTTGGCACCAGTATGCGAGCGTTTGTGACGGGAATCTCGACTGATACCTATTCACATTTGGTCACATTTTTTCATCATAGTTAGTAAATGTAAAAAATTGTTTCACTAATGGAAAATAAATTATTTAATTTGACATAATTTAACAGAAGCAAAGTAAATGTTGCATAATAATTGCATAATAATAAAATTCCATCTGAAAAAAAAAAAAATAATATGGATGGATAAAAAATTTTAATTTACCCATGTTGACTTTATTTTTTATTTTTTAGAAAGAGGAAGATAATTTATTCTTAAAATCATTGATTTAAAAAATTTTTAAAGGGTTCATTATTATTTCCGAATTTAGAATTTGAACCAATCGATTAGTTTCACGAAATATGAATCTTCATGAATCTATTCGAATCTATTCGGAAATCACGGTAAATCACTCAGAATAAATGAGGCCATCCATCATACGTTTAATTGGTCATGGCACCATTTTATCAACGTCCTGAAAATGCTCTCAAAAGAGCTGAAGGTAATGTACTTTAAGATCAGCTACTTTTTCTATTAATTCAATAATATAATTAACAGTTAATTATTCAAGTTCATAGATACAATGGAAAAGTTTTCTCAAAAAAACAATATACCAATAATAATTTACATTGAATTTTTATTTAACTTTTAGAATTAATTGCTGTGGGACAACATGTGGCTGCTCTCACTTCTCTTCACGAGATCGTGATTTCGAAACGGTCACGTAGCACACCTCTTTCTGCATTGGAGCCAATCATGCTTCGTTTTGTAGAATTGTGTGTCAATTTGAGAAAAAGCAAAACAGCAAAAGAAGGATTGAACCAATATAAAATTATCGCTCAGAGTCTTAGCGTTACAACTATTGAGGTAAAAAAATTAATAATAAAATTTTGATAATCTCTTGGCTTATAAATTTATTTATTTTTTTGTATTAATTTGATCTCTTCTTTCTCAAAAAAGCTTGTTATTAAAAAATTCATTGAGCTCTCAGAAGAAAAAGTAGCAGCTGCTCAAGCTAAGGCTGATCGTATTACTTTGGACGCAATCGATGATCTCGAGGCGTCAGAAACCCCGGAATCAATTATGTTGAGCACAGTAAGCGGTGAACAAAGTAAAGATAGAACAGATAGAGCTGTGGTAACACCTTGGCTTAAGTTTTTGTGGGAAGCGTATAGATCAGTTTTGGATATTTTGAGAAATAATGCTCGTTTGGAAGTTTTATATCAAGTAGGTTTAGTTTTTCGTTCGTTCGTTCATTGGGATTTGCGAAAATTATTTAAGAATTATTTATTCATTGATTGATATAACTTTCTCGTTCGACACATTAGCAAACTGCACACCAAGCATTCCAGTTTTGTCTCAAGTATATTCGAAAAACGGAATTTCGACGTCTTTGTGATCTCCTTCGTAATCATCTTCAGAACATTGCTAAATACGCTCATCAACAACATTCAATAAATTTAAATGAGCCGGATACCCTTCAACGACACCTAGACACCCGATTCTATCAACTCAATGCAGCTGTCGAATTAGAGTTATGGCAGGAAGCATTCAGATCTGTTGAAGACATTCATAATCTATTATCAATGTCAAAGAGACCTCCCAAATCTGTAATGATGGCAAATTATTATGACAAGTTAACAAAAATATTTTTGGTTAGCGAAAATTATTTGTTCCATGCTACTTCATGGAATCGGTATTATACATTAGTAAAGGCTCAAAATAAAGCTTTGTCTGACGAAGAGAACACTCGAATGGCATCTTTTGTGTTGTTATCTGCTCTCGCTATACCTGTTATTACTAGTTCTAAAACTCGATTGCTTGAAATTGATGATAATAAAAACAAACAACATCGACTTGCAGCATTGTTAGGAATGACTCGTTCGCCCACTAGGTCAGGCTTGTTGAAGGAAGCAGTACGTAATCAATTTTAATTTCAATTTAAAAAAAAAAAAAATCAAAAATAATTGTATGACTTATTGTTTCTTAAATTTAATAATAAATTAGCTTAACAAAGACATTTTACGTCGAGTCCGTCCAGAATTGAAGGATTTATACAATATTCTAGAAGTCCAATTTCATCCATTATCAATTTGTAAGAAGATCGAGCCTATTATGAATCATCTTGCACAAGATGCGGAAATGGCAAAATATGTAAAACCTTTACATCAAGTTATTCTTACTCGCCTATTTCAACAGTTGTCACAAGTTTATGATAGCGTTAAGCTCGATTTTGTTATAAATCTTGCTTCTTTTGCTCCTCCATATAATTATGATGCTGCAACAATTGAAAAATTTATTATGAATGGATGCAAAAAAGGTGAACTCTCAATTCGCATTGATCATTCCACCAGCAGTTTAACATTTAAAACGGATTTGTTTTCTGCTTCTAAAAATGCTGATGCTGATGGAGCAAAGTTACAAGCATCACCAGCAGATCGAATGAGGGATCAACTTTCAAGACTTGCCAAATGTTTTTATACTACAGTTCATATGATAGATCCAACTATTGTTGAAGACAAGAAGAAGGCTAGGGCAGCCTCTCTTTCCCGTGCTTTGGCTGGAATGGAGGAAGAACATAATAATGCCCTTGCTCGTAAAGCTATTATTGAGCGAAGAAGGGAATTGGTAGAGACTTTATTAAAACGAAAGGAGAAAGAAGAGCAACGAGAACATGCCATTCGCCAAAAACAAAGAGATGATGAATTGAAACAAAGACAAATAGAAGAAGCTAAAAAACGTGAACAAGATAGGAAAAGACGTGAACTTGAAGCCATTCAGAGGGAAGAAGCTCGAAAATTGGCCGAGTCTCTTAAATTAAAAAATCTAAAAGTACAACCAAAGGTAAATATTAATTTTATTTTTTTTTATTTCACTTTAGTTTTCTAGAAATTTATAATTAATATTTTTCCTTAATGCATGAAGGATTTAGAAAATTTAGATACTGATAAACTTGTTCAACTTCAAGTTGAACAAATTGAAAAAGAGAAACGTGAGCTTAATGAACGTTTAAGAGTTACAGCAAAACGTATGGATCATGTTGAACGTGCTTATCGTAAAGAGGAAATACCTCTTCTTGAAAAAGATTATGAACTTCAAAAGAAAGCTGACAGAGCTTATCATGATGCTGCTCGTAAATTACAATTAGAAACATCATCACTTAAGCATACTCAAGATCTTAAAATAAAATCAAGATTAATGAGAATTCTACCTGATTATCAAATTTATCGAGCTGAGATTGAACAGAAACAGTTTGAAGAATTTGAAGAGCGTCGAAGAGCTGCTCATACCAAAATTGAAGAGGAAAAAGAAAAGAGGAGACAAGTGTATAGAGCAAAAAAAGAAGAAGAAAGGCTTCAAAAAGAAATTGAAGAAGCAGCTATTCGGAAAGCTGAAGAAGAAGAGAGAAATAAACTTGAAGGTCTTATAACTTTTATTATTATTATTATTTGCAATTCAATATAATTTATTATAGAAATATTCATTTTTTTTTTTTGTATTATTTCAGAGGCCCGACGTGCAGAAGAAGCAGCTAATGCTAAGATAGAAGCTGAAAAGGCCGAGTATGAGGCAAAGAAACGGTATGAATATTAATAATATAATTATGCATATTACATTAAAATTGTTATTAAATTAAATTGATTTATATAGGAAACTTGATGAACAAGCAGCCCGACAACGTGAGGCAGAACGTCAAGCTGAGGAAAGACAAAAAGCTCGTGATGCAGAAAAAGAAAGAGCTCGTGAAGCAGAAAAAGAAAAAGAGCATCGTCGCGAAACAGAAAAACCTAGTACTTCCACTGGCGGTTATATTCCTCCAGCTCTTCGACGTGCTGCAGTAACATCACGAAAAACAGAAGAACCACAACGACGTACTGCTCCAATTCGTCGTGAAACTGAGGATTTATGGCGTCGATCTGATTCACGTCATTCAACGACAGAGGAATTGGATTGGCGTCGATCTGATTCTGGACGTGCTGAAACACGTCGTTCAACTGCAGAAGGATCAGAATGGCGTCGATCTGATTCTGGACGTGCTGAACCCCGCCGGTCAAATACTGATGAATTGGAATGGCGTCGACCTATAGTTCGAGAAGAAACAGAACAAAGCTGGAGGCCCCAAACAGAAGTAGATGATGAAGGTTTTATACCAGTAGTCAAGGGAAAACGTCGTGTTAAAACTGGTGGTTCTACTGAGGCAGAATAAAAAATTTTCTATCTAAAATAAAATCATATTTAGTAAAAAAGTATTTATTCATTTATGTATAATTTATCTAGATATTTTAATAATAAATATAAATATTCACATTTATTTTTAAATAATCATTCTTTAATATTGTTATATGTTTATTACATAAGATAACTTATTATACAGTTTAATTTATTAGTTAAATTTTATAAACCTATATAATATTAATAAATTAACTAATCTTAATTAATTATTTATCTGTCTAAAATGGTTACCTATAAGTATAATCTCAAGAAATAACTTAATACTATTCATATCCTATAAAAATTAGTTGGATAATTTAAACTATTATAGTAATTGGAGTAATTATAGATATTTAAACTTAATTCGTGATCCGTGATAGATTGTATATATTTATTATTTATTTAAAATGCGTAACTAAATTATCAAAATTTCGCGATGGCCGTCGTCAAAAAAAAATCAATCGCTTAACTTGAAGTGTTGGCCATGACCTAATTATGACCTACTCATCAATTATAATTATGACCATATGACCCATTATGACCTATAGTAATTATGAATATTTATGACTTAAAGAAAATTGATATGACCTGAAATGTCCATTACTGTTAACTTGAGACGTGCAAATTTTGCATTAGTAACCATATAATAATTTTATTTCCCGATCAGCGATATCAATTATTTCTGAACAAATTAAATTTTAACTGTTCTTGGGTAAACTTGAATAGAATTGGTTTTATATTAATAATTTCACCAGAAATGTAGTGTCTGATTTTTTATTTGTTAAATTTACATTTAATTGCTATGATATTATTAATAAAAATCATTAAAAGACCGGAGATTATTATACAATTAAAGGACGCAAGAAATATTACTCTATCAATTATATATAATATTTACATCGTCAAAAATTAGAATATAATCAAGTTCTGGTCAATCTGAAATGAAATAACATATCAGTGATGTTATATATGTTCAATACAATATTTTAACGAATTTTGTCACTGACCTTTCGGAACCTTTGGTTTTTGGAAGGATCTGTATTCCTTCTGCCATTGCCACCTTTCCGAGTGAAAATTTCACTTTTTCAGAATTGCTTTTCATTTGCTTAAATCGTGAAATAGAAATTGAAAATAATTTCTGCAAGAACAAAATCAAGTAAGTGCAAAATAAAACTTAAAGATTGTTTGCATGGTACTAACCTTTATTTGGAGCATTATTCGTGACATTTTAATGAGGAACTCAAGTTCTTGGGATATAAAATTCGGATAAATTTACGGACGCATAAAATCCACTGCCAATATATATAATTAGAATTGCACGCAAAAAAATAAGAGGATAAAAATCCGGGCATTAAAAGCTTTGTGCTTGCTTCAAGAACTTGTTTCGAAAGTGTTCCCCGCCTTCGGCAAATATTGTCTTAATTAGATTTTGGTGCATGTCGCGTAATGTTTTCTGTACTTTAAGTGAGTTTGAAAAGATCTTGGGTGTGTCTTCAATTTTTAATCCCGTACGTTCGTAAAGGGAAAACTCGCGACCCCAACATAACTCTCTTCCTAACTCTCTTCCTAAGTCATGCCTCTGTAGATTCAAATTAGTAAACACACTAATAGTTGACAATGAAACTTTTAAAAAAATATTATTTTGTATAATAATAAAAATAAAACATACCGTGAACATCCAGTTCAAGTGGTAACCCTCTGCATTATTTGATGCATTTATTGTCTCTGCTCGACGATGTCGGGAAGACCTAGATACCATCTCGCCACTTAATTAAAAAAAAAAAAAAGATGTAAGAACTACTGCAAATAATGTAAATATTTAAAAATAACAATAAACCTACAAGTGAATATCCAGAATAGTGTTGAAACAAGAGAAAATGTGCCGTTTTATAAATACATCATTGTCGCGTTCAATATTTGTCGTTGAGTAATTCCTTTTGAAATCATTTCACATCTGAATGAAATTATGAAATTATTACATAAGACTTGATGATTGTATGAATCTGGATGTTGCTTTCATTTTTGATTTACGTAAGTTTAATAGTTAAGTACCAAATTACATGTATATCATACATTGTGTTTAACGTCCGTCTCTTTATGCTGTGCTGATCCGTTTCATTATCTTTTTCATCTTCAAATAAATTATCCGATTCTGGAACTTTCCGTTCCTTTATGTTCCTTTAGGTCTCACTATTTCTCCAATGGTGCGGAGTTGATCATTGTCAAGCTGGAAACCAAAGCATGTATTAATGAATTTCAATTGACATAATTAATTTCTTTCATTTACCTTTTCAAGAGACTGTAAGCAACTTTCCGCTTTTGGTTCTAATGTGGTCCAGTTTTCTAGTAGGGTGAAAACTTTGCATTTAATTCTGACAATTTGTCTTCCGACTAAAATTTATTAGAACCTGGAAACCACAAATAATAAACAAATTAATGCTTATCAAACAATTACTTTAATGATGAGTCATTTTATCAATTAAAAGCGCTAGAAATTAATGAATCACGCTCTTGTGATATTTTATCTATCCAATTTGGTTTCGGTGCATCAAATTCCCATTCAATGAAGGATTCATCATCATCTAAAACCTATGTACACATCACATCACAAATTTTATATAAGAAAGCATTTCTTTATTTTGATAAAAATTAAAGCAAATATAAATACCTCAATCAAATATGATAGTCCTTCGTCTTTACATTGACATTTGTACAAATGGTCATCATCTTCTGTATCAAGTGGTCTAGTAATTTTTCACACTCCTTTCCCTTTTCCAAATTGGATGTTTCTCATAATTGATCAATAAGTATTTGGTTTTCTTGTTAATCCTAAAAAACTTTTGATAAGTCTATTGGTCTATTGTGAATGTTGATTTGAATTTTCATAAAATTTATCCTTAATACTGTGTAAGTTGATGTAACATTTATTTACACTTCTACATGATACTCAAGATCTTTGATGAATTACTTCACTTCAGCAGTAAAGAATGATGAGTCAAAATTTGATAAAATCTTTGACACCTTATTTTTGACATTCATGTGAACATTACACTTGTCTTGATATTTTTATAATATTTTATGCAATCTTCAATTGTGATTACAGATAATTTGGAGTTCGATTTCAATCACGCAAATTCTAGAATTCTGAAAGCATCCAATTTTAAGTGTTGTTTCGTCACTACAGATTCAAACATCTAAAAAAAATTTTAATGCAATTATCAGTTATTATTTATTTTAGTAAAAAGAAACATGATAATGTTTACAGTTAACTGTATACTAGAAAACAGCTAGCTAGGACTTGAGCCTTAAGCATATATACCTGAGGACAGCTCAGGAAACTGCTTCCAAAAATCTGTGCACAGGATAAATGGCCTAATAACAATAGAGATACATATAATCACAAACTTCATCAGATCAAAGAGCTACAAAATAGAAAAGATTAACCTTACTTTATACTTGAAATCCTGTTCTGCAGTAGTATATGTGTTTAGAACAAAAAATTAAATAAAGATTGTTATTGTATCAAATTTTCAAATTTTTTCTATAATATTTATGACTTTATTATATAATCATTTGATGCATTGCATCTTAGACCCTTGATTATTGTTATGTAATAAATATATTTTTTTGTGGAAAAATTTAAACCGTGTGGTTAGGGTTTATCATATTATTACCATTGTCACCAGTGATTTCTGGTTAACAGTTCTTTTAAGGAGTTTATAGTCATTTCCCAAAGGTAAGACTATTGTTTAGTTGTTTTAGAAGGCACCACTGATTCAATTATTTTAGAAAGGGAATCAGACCTTTCATCCAATTTATTCCAATATC